ACAGAGACATATTGATGAGCAAAATGTGGAGGGGAAAGATGAAAAAAGTATGAGGTGTCAGGACCCCACTCTCTCAGATAAGTTAGCTCATACAGAGCCAAATAATGTCATATGACCAAGGAACAACAGAATGCCAGGATTAGACATATAGACAAATTCTATGAAGATATAAATGTGAACATTGTATTATGCCAGAATTTGAATAGTAACTGCAGCAGCCTTAGCCTGAGGATTTTCCTGGGCACTTTGACCACTAAGAGTTAATAATACAATGGCTTGGGACATGGCAAAATGCCCAGGGTGGCTTGAAGATTTTGTTTTGGTCTAGAGTCCTTGAAGCAACGAAAGCTATGAGTCTGTGAACAGACTGTCATATGCTTCTAGAGTCTTAAAACTGGGTTATGGGGTTACTGAGTAAGAATGATAACTCTGTTTATTAATGATATCCATACTTGAGGGAAAATGATTGGAAATGATAACTATGTTCTTTCATAGTTTATTAATGGTGACTAAAAGATGAGCAAAAGGAAGTGGAACACATGTCCAAAAACAAAAATGATATGATCTGTCTTTGGAACATAATGGATGTATCCCTGCTTACTAAATTTTGTATGAATAAAGAAGCACTCTGGCTGCTAGTCAGTCAGGCTGCAAGATTCTCCAGACTATCATGGCCTGGCTTACTTCCTTTCCCTGCCAACTCCTTACATCCTCTGCTGGGACCTGTCCACCGCCAGGGATGGCTCCTGGCAATCTGGGCGCCAGAACTCCCGGGCACAGCAGGAAGAGTCACATGCAGCAGGTACACCTGCTCTGGGTAGGGAGAAAGAAGTTGCCATTCTGAAAGTTCATGAGCAGGCTTCAGAAGACCTGTGGTTCTCAAGGAGCCCAGGCACTCGTGACACAGAAGACAATGGCTTATGAATGCAAACAAAAACTGAGTTCTTCATGATGCAGAATAAAGTCTTAGTCTTTTAAGCCATTATTAGGTATTTCTGACTGATTTTCTACCTATCTGTGGATTTTATTTTACTGTTTCTTTGAATAGTTTTTGGTTTCTAAACAATGCACATTTAAAATAATACAAAACAGTGACTCAGAAACAAATCTTTTCTGTTCTTCTATATTTATTCCCCACCGTGTGACTGCTAAATGTGACACATTGTTTGTTTGTTTGGGACTGTCTCATGTAGTAACTTTTGGGGATTAATTTTGCAAAACCTGCAGTCTTCATCATCTGTATTACTGAAGTTTCTTATTTGTGCTTTACATTAGTGATCTACTAAAAGGTGGAGGCATAGATTTCCTTACTATTTCAAATTACTGAGCTTTCCACCCTTTTTCAGAAGGTTCCCTTGCTATAGCAACCTGGACACTAATTATAGCTCTACATCCTACCTAGTCTCTACTCACTGAATCTCAGCCAGAGGCCAGCGGGTCACAGGCCCCTCTCAGGGTGTGTGTGACCTTAGTCAGAGGCCAGCAGGTCACAGGCCTTTCTCAGAGTGTGTGTGACCTTAGTCAGAGGCCAGCGGGTCACAGGCCCCTCTCAGAGTGTGTGTGACCTTAGTCAGAGGCCAGCAGGTCACAGGCCTTTCTCAGAGTGTGTGTGACCTTAGCCAGAGGCCAGCGGGTCACAGTCCCTTCTCAGGACATGTGTGACCTTAGCCAGAGGCCAGCGGGTCACAGGCCCTTCTCAGGGTGTGTGTGTGACCTTAGCCAGAGGCCAGCGGGTT